GCATTTAAGAAGTTGAGTTAGAATATTCTGCCCTCCACTTCCTGCACCATGTGTACAAACCCCATGGAACAACACTGAACAGAACCTGCTCCATGGCCAGGAACACTTTATAATATAAACGCACATGCTGTAGGAACTAACCAACCTGCAGTGAGCTGCTGATCTTCATGCCAAGCCTCATCCTCCCAGCTGCCAAAGCACTCTGCACTTTCATTTTCTCTGGGGGTCAAGCACCTCCCATACTAAATCACTTAGAATAGAGCAGAGAAATCAGAGTTGAGGAGAGGAGGAGCTTATGCTACTCTAAAGAGGAGATCAAAGAGCTGTGCATTTGTACTCATATCCTCATCAAGTTTGGTCTCCCTCCATTAATCAAGTCATCTATCCTGCAACCAGTAAGTCAGCAGACAGACTTCACTGGCAGACGGGCTGGGTCCTGCACACACAGCTGGAATTTTCCACCACACATATTATTTTAGGCAAACGCAAGCAATCATGTACTTACAATAAAGTCCATTTACTACACATGCTAAAGGTCTGACCTACCATACCAGCTGGAGGCCTGCACTTGAACTTACAAATCTATGAGATTCTGATGTCAAGTATCCAAGTAGAAGAGGAGTGACTTTATTGCCACCCAATATCTAAACCACTTTCACCTTTCCACATCAACTAGCTTAGAGCTACCTTATAACTGATAACAAAGGAGAACAAATTTTTTTCTAACTTTCCAACAACTACAAAGCATCTAAAGGTATTTTAGATTTAAAACATTTCAATGTTTTCATTTCAATTCTTGGCTTCTAACTGAAGACCAAGGAAACTACAAGCTACATGATTATTACTTCAGAAGTTTATGAGTTTGCTAAAGTAAGGAGATAATATAATATTAAGTGTGAGGTTTGTATGACAAAGACCATTAAGAGACTTACAAAGGAATACTTTTCTATGGGATTCAATCTTTTCACAATAAAGCCTAGAAATGCTGGTATAACAAATATTTTAAAAGGCAAAATGATTTTCAGGATTTGATTCCATTTAATGGAAGGTTTGGTAAGGTTTTGGTAAGGTTTCTCCAGCATGTCCTGCTTCAAACTCCAGTGCCACATGGCATGGGTTATTTTCCCCTTTCAAGGTGATACAGGCTGAAGTTGCAGTAATGACGTACGTAGATTCGTGGAGGGTGATGCACTCTGCAGTTAGTGATGATGTGGGTTCTGGCAGCTTGGCTTTCTATTCTACTTTTAGTCATCAGGAAGAGACCAAGCCACTACTTGATTTAGAATGGGATTAACTGATTTTTAAAGCTCATTACAAATAGTGGGCTGTAAGTTGTCATTTGCACCTCTTCTATAGGCAGACAATGAGACTGACAGATCTTTTACAGGCTGGTTATAAATGGACGACAGGTCTAGACGTGCCACTCAGACCTTTGGGAGCAAAAACCTGAAGAATGCCTGGTGGACAGGAAGAAGATCACAAAAGCAAACACATTTTCTTTGGAGATTTACTTCAATATTGAAAATAATGAAAATCAATCAATCTTTTGGCTTCAATTCCTGGCCTGCTTTCTTTATGCACTGAAAGCCCCTTTTCATTGTATCTATTGGGTCAATTTCTACTGTTCTTTCACATGTACTCACGTATCTTCTAGGAACTAAGTGGAAATGCACAAAAAATGCTCTTTGAGGAGGAGAAGAATTAAATGCTATTGATAGTGAACTTCCAGTCCCTTCCAATACCATGTACTAAAGTCAGTATATATTTAATTGTATATTTCTCTTCGGCAATACAGGCTCTGACAGTGCTTAGCTTACTGGGTTTTAATGTGGCTGATACTTTGTTATCAAAAAAAATCAAACCAGAATACACTAGACTTCAAAAATGATTCTAGACATGCAAAACTAAACCTCATAATATAGTTGCGATTTTAATATCTGTATTTTTAAACTATTCAAATCAGCTAGTGTTAGCTGGAATCCAAGCTGTCTTGGATTCCTCCTGTAGTCAATGGAAAGAGACAGAAATATCCAGGAACAATTAATTTTTCCTACCACAGATGCCTATTTTACAATAAGATAAATTATCAGGTATCCATCTCTCACTGTTTACAGAATACTATCTAACTTTGCAGGGGTAAACTGAGGTAAGATGAACCCTGCTTTCACGCCGGGCCCATTAACACATGCCTGGCACAAGAAGTATGCACGAGGAATAGGGATTTTCCACCTCCATATAAAATTACAGTTCTGTCTGCCAGGGAGTACCAGGTTTGTATGAATTTATCACCTAGAGTTGTCTCCCCGCATAGAGCTTGAAGGGAAGAAACCTGGCTCTGCATGTGGGGAAACAGAAGCTGTCTTTCATGCTGAGGTATGTCTTACCTGTTCCTGGGCACAATCACTTCAAAGCCTTCCTAGCACTGAATGTTGTGGTATGCACCTCACAACACCAGTCTGCATGTTAAAATAGAATTTAACCCCAAAGGGGCCCCAATACAGCTACAACATATTTCAGCAGCTTCTGTAATGGGCTTCTGTAATACAGCTATAATAACTGCAACACTTAAACAAAGGTTAAAACATTTTCACATGAAATGTGGGATTACTTTGATTTTCTAAACAGTTTGATTTAGTGGGAGGTTAATAAGGTGTGGAAATTGTTTGTTCAGGCCTCACTTAATGCTCAAAATTGTGCCTCTGAATTAAAGACATCATAAGCCAAACCAAATTTAAAAATACAGATGTTTTGTTGATCATTTAACCGTCTTTGCTTTAATTCCCCAGCCTCTTTTTGCATTAAGAAAAAAAAATAATAAATCATGATCAACTCAGTTGAGAAGCCATATTTTAAATGCAGGTGATTTGTCACTGGATTTGACCCCAATTTTCACTCAGATGTGAGACAGTGACCTACACCAGCAAGTTTTCATAGGGAAAGTTATACTGATATTGACATTCATTAAATCACTTCCCAGTATGGTACTAAGCAGAGTCACATTCTAGGTCATGTGTGGGCCATACACCTATTTCATCATGCATTATTTAAAAAAAAAAAGTCACAGCTAAGGTGATGGTATTATTAACTTGGTAAAAAAGCAATTAAAATCTTCAAAGAATGAACTTTCAAATAGTGCAGCAACACTTAAATGTCATATTTCTGTTGCAAATGTATTTTTAATGATAACATTTCTTTGTAATGTAAATCAGCCTCCTCTCAATTATAACATGTTAATCAAGTTATTTCTCAATTGCTGCCTACCCATCAACACCTACAAGTCCATCACATGTCATTCTGTAAAAGCATACTAATTACTTGATCATATTTTAGTCAAGTTTTGCAAATCCAACGATTTTCTTCAAGACTGCATATTATGTGCAGATTTATCTGTTGGGGGGGAGGGGAGAGCAGAAGGCACATTTGCATCCTGCAACTTCAGTCTAATTGAAAATCTTTCAAAGTACCTTAGCATGCAGGTACTTGATCCTAGAAACCGGAGAAAAGGAAAAATGGGTACCAAAATATTGCTTCCTAATATCTCACGCACATGCTATTCCTGGTTGACATGTCCAAGAGGGGTAAGGAAAAACACAAGGTTGAGGTGAATACTTAAGAATGATTCAAAGCGTATACCTCAAATGCAGAACAGGATTTGATTGGGTAGAGGTAAATGCTGGTGACAGTGATGGGCTTGCCACCTCTTCTACATGTTGGTACTGCAGTCTCAGAAACAGCTGCCCTTATGCTTTCCGCCTTGGCCTCCGGTGGCTGCCACTTGACAGTCATCTTTGTCGCAGATGAATTAGTCCCGAGTTCTCTATCCGAGATGTGTGGTATTGGAGACAATTTATCTGCATTGTTAAAGGAAGGGTGGTCATCTGGCACAGACTCTGTCGTCAGCTTTGTAACAGGGGACTGGAAGGGAATCTCAGTGTCTGACTTGGAGAGTCTGGTGGCTATGATGAATTTCAAAAACGTCTGTGCATCTTCAAAAGAAGACATGTAGCCAAAGGATATTCTCACAGAACCAGTGGGACGTCCATCAACTAGGTCTATATCATCTCCACAGACATGGCCAGCCTAGTTTGAAATAGGAAGAAAACCAGAGAGCTATTATGACAAATTTTGCTTAATTCCCTCTAATTTTACATAGTTATTAATGATTCTCTTAATTCTAACCTGAAAAACTGTTTTCAGTTAACTCATGAATACAAAGAGAAAAAGGAGGAAAAAATCCCAACTATCTTATTACTTACTCAAGCTGGGAAGAAGATAAGTTTGAGATGCTTGTCCTATCCTACCCTAAGGCAAGAAAGACTTCTCAAAAACATGTCAAGAATCAGAAAAAGTTTGTCTGTCCAAGGATGACCTGTTAGCTAGGGCAGTCTCCAGATATAGAATCATAGAATCATAGTATCGTTTAGGTTGGAAAAGACCTTTAAGATCATCCAGTCCAACCATTTATATATTCCAGTCTCATCTGCATAGTTCATTGGGATTTAAACTGGGATATACTGGGATTTAAACTGGGATATTACATTCAGATAAGTAACAAACCACGAGACTGCAGTCTCTTTCTGGGGCAGTTTTCTTGATATTTGCTGTCAGAACAGTTCCATTTTATATTATCAGTGGCTTATTCATGGCTCATGTTAAATAGCCCAGTGGATAGCTATACAGCTGAGAACTGGTCTGGGATATTTGTAAAGCAGAGACTTGAATCTAGAACTCCAACATCCAAAGAGACTTCTCTTGTCATTGGGATACACAGTAAATCTGTCTGGCTGATCCAGTCAACACCTTGCTTTCAGGATGGAAGGAACTAGCCTTCCCCCTAACATTTCCTCCTTTGAAGAACACAGGTTGCCACTCATGAAAAATCTTTGTTGAAAAATGCTTCAAATATGCTAATAGTGACCTCCACATAGATAGCCTCCATTTGATCTGTCTTTCACACAGTACTCCCTGGAAAACTCTCCCTTAGAGCAGAAGTTTCTCCCTCAGTAAGTGGGTCAGTGAATGCTGCCACTCACCTCCACTGAGATAAGCTAGAGACCCCCTTTGTTCATCCATCTAACAGCTGTCTCACCAATGGACACCAGATTTAGTCCTAAGTCAGCTTCCTTATTCCTGTAAGTGCAGCAGCTGTTTTTTTTCTCATATATTCATTTATTTATGCATTTCTGTTACATAAAAATGGAAGTGTGAATAGATTATTTACATGAGGGCTTTTTTAAGCAAGAAATGTCACAGTTCAATGAACACAGATGCCATTTATGCAAGGAGAAACAAAAAAAAAATACCCTCTATGTCAAAGCATGCAATACAGTAGTAAATATTTTAATGCAGTGTGATGTAGTTTTTATCCTTGACAATAGAGCAGAAGCAACATTTGCAAAATTAGGTTGCATCTGTTAATATACATGTAACCCTTCTGCCAAGTATCGATTAATTGACTGAGGAGAGAGGTTCCTGCTGTGCAAATAAGTAAATGAGTTCCTACCTAACATCCTAAGAGAACTAACCACACTTCTCCAGAGACCCTTGAGGACAGAAAGTCCTCCCTGACAGGCATTTTATACATGGAAATCTTAATCAGGGAAGGAAGAATACAATCAGCACCCTGGGAAAAGGCGAAACTGAAGTATATGTCCAAACAATGTGATAAGAGATGCCTTCCCCTATGCAGTAATGATGTCAGTAACTCATCCAGATCCTTCTCAAAGGACTAATGAGAATGTCCCAGAATAATGACTGCTTGACTGCACCACCTCATCATACCACTTTTGGCACATTAAGTGTCTCTTTGTAAGTTTGGGTTTGGCCTATCCCCATTTAAATGTTCAGGATTATTAACATGCTACAGACCCATAAGAGGCCACCCACTCCTTAGCAAAATCCTCCTTATATGAAGAGATCCAAGAGTGTTGCAGCTGGTCATTTGGCATTTTGCACTTCAGCAGAAGTGTAGACCTTTTTTTTTTCTTTCTTTCTTTTTTTCCTTTCTCAGAGTATCTTGGGGAAACTGCTCCCCCTCGAAAATACAAATACTGACCTTCTCTTAGACAGATTATGCATGAGGAGACTATGGACATGGAGCTTTCCATGGTAAATGAAAGCACCATTTTGCGCAGGAAGATATTAAAGAGCTCTCCCCCTTTAAGAACTTGTGCTATCAATCTTGCATATAAATGTGTTTGCAAAAGTTATCTAAACGTCTCTGTGAAATTATAAGGGAGCTATAATATCAACACAGCCATTATGATTTTTTATCTTTCGAAAAATACCATTAATAAAATTTTTGATTGCTCTGTATTAATTTATTGTAATTTCAAACTCTGACAAATATGCAGACATGAAGCCTCCCCCACTTCATTTTAATATATCCTGCTACACATCTTTTAATGACAATTTATGGAAAATATTAGTCATCTAGAAAACAGTGTTTACATTCATGTTCTAACAATCTAATACACCAGTAATCTAGGTAGATGTCATCTAAATGTACTTCACTCTCTGAGATTCACTGTGTATTCTCATTTATTGTTTCTTGTCCAATTTGTGTATGTCTTTTAAACTGGAATATCCAACAGCAATAGATCTATAATACTTGAACATTATTAAGTACAATTAAGGATACTTAAGGAACAACATGAGATGAATTGTCCAGGAACTTCTGTTCTGCAGGAAGTCTGGATTTCATGTAATTCCAAATCAGAACAAGAAGCCACAAATTCATGTTTCCCAATGAAATAAAACCAGCAACACATACTGCTTTGGGTCCATCAAATTATTTTGTTTCAACACTCCATTTCAATGAATTCAATTTCAGTTCATTTAGTTCTTTAACATGGCAACTGAGTTGAAAGGTCATTCTTGAAGTTGCAGAGACTTAAAACCACTGGACATGGTACACCTACTTCAGCTTTTAACTAATTAGGGGTTTTTTTTAATACAGAGCCAGATTTTCCTCTTCCCTTCAAACCTCCCATCCTTAGGAAATTCAGAACTGATAGCCAGAAGATGTCTCCTGGGTCAGTGAATCTAGGTATTTTCCATGGGCAATATATCATGTAATCTCATTGAAAAACTAACCTGCAGGTTCCTTTGGATGTCCTCATTGCTTATACCCAAATGCATCTGGCAGGCTCCTGTATTACAGAAGCAACCTGTGCGGACATGTATGTTGTAGAGACTGGCCATCTTGTCCACCTTCCCGATTCACCAGGACATAAGACATAGGAGAAGAACGAAAAATAGACATTTTAAAGTTGTGGTAAACAACATACAATGTTTTAAAGGTACAATTTAATTGGAGGTAAATTAATTCTCTAAATTATTAAAAACTTTCTGTAGCTTTTGGCATACCTATACACATTTAAGACTTTTCAGCCTTGTTATTCAGCTAGAAGAAAACAATGGTGGAAGCAGAAACTCTTACCTTGGCATTGAGAGACAGTGCACACAACACACACACACAGACACACACATACACACACAGAGTATCAGTTCAGGTCCTGATCCTGTTAATGACAGTACATGTGCTTAATTTTAAACCTGTGAACAGGTTCATTCACATCAGTAGTGCTAATTACAGGCCTGCAGTCAAGTGTCATTCCGTGTCTCGACAAAACCGTCACCTACAACTGCATCTTCAGAGACTGAAGAGAGGCCTGGGGCACCTCTTCAGTTAGCTAGAGAAAACATTGTTCTCCAAGGATCTGAAACTGCAAGTCCTCATTACAGAAACTGTATCTGTGGGATTTTGGCACACAAGTGCTTGCAGAATCAGTCCCCCAGTAAGCAATAACATCTGACAGGGCAAGGATTAAACTGGAATACCTCCTTGAGTCTTACATATCACCACTCAGTCCACCAACTCCCTGGTGTACTTTTTCTTTGTGCTGTGCTGTTCTGTGTTCTACCATTTCTTTATTGTCCACTAAATAATGAATGGGCAGAAATACAATACTTGATGACAGACTGGCATGAGTAAATTATGAGAAGGAATGAAAAAGATGTGCAAAGAGAACAGAAGCACATGTCTATGTGTGCCTTGGAAGGAAACACATACATGCATACACTGGCAGGATGGCACTGGCAGGCTGGCACTGTAGAGAAGAGATATGGATTGTCAAAAACAAAGCAAGCACACCATGAGGATCATCTTAGCACAGCTAAGAAACCATGGAAGCACACTGCAGGGATCTGAAAGCGCTTTATGTTGATTACAAAAAGCGACAACAGCAGCTGGTAAGGTTAGCAGAGTAGGTATAGCTACTGCCAGTTATTTCTTTGACAATAAATGATGAACATTCCTGGTCAGGATGGAGAGAAAGAATGGTCAGATGGTCAGAAAAGTAGCATGAACCCTGGCATATCCTATCTCTACCACAGATTTCCAGAACAACCTCGCACAAGCTGCATTAATCTCTCTGTGCTTTCGTTCCTCTTCTGCAAAATGGAGAGCTGAGAGCTCTGAGAATGACCACGCTGCAGACTGAGAGGACCCCACCATGCCAGGGACACAATCCTCCTTGCAGGGAGCTCAGGCTCAGCTACATGCAGAGCAACAGCTCAGCCTAAGGTGCAGGAGTGGAAGTGTTGACCACCTCAGTCACTTTCCTAACTGTGAGCTCATGCTTTATCTGCCTGAGGTATCAATGTAAACATTCAACCTAGCTTTTCTAGCTGGCTTAATCTCTATTGGCTTTTATTTTTTAAAACATAAATTTTCTTTGTATAGATTAATAGCCCAATACATGTAGCAAATACTTTGTGGTATAATTCAGTCTATCTTCTGTCTCCTATCTTCTGACACCATCAACCTTCTGATATCAGCCTATCTTCTGATCTGAATTTAACTGTGTGAGAAACCAAGCACCTTTAACTTTACTATCTTAGCAGCTTGAAAAAACAAGCCCTCTGTTAGAACTTACTCCAGGCTGAAATAATTCAACCTAAGTAGTGTTTAGCTCTACTAAAAGCAGTTAAAAAAGCATTAAATTTTTGGGGTTTTTTTTCACGTATGGGGCACAAAGTACTCCACACAAAAATGTGCTGTATACACAGAAGAAATCCTACATCATTCTAGTGCACAAGTTCTCAAGTTCACACCTAAATATGGTCTGCCCCACTAGTTCAGTTCAATATGGCTCAGTTCTCAAATGGAGATACAATCAAAATAACTCCATATATCCAGACTTGGAAAGCAGAGAATAGAATCAGTCCCGAGATCCCTATTCACGATTAATGCCTTGGAGAATATCCTGTGTTCAAAGCATGTTTCTCAAATCAAAGTTATAGTAAAAGGCATCTGTTGAGAAAGACTGTTGTGGTGTCATTAGCTTTGTTTTGTCAGAAGACTTCAATCTGGGAACAGTGACATTTTCTTGACTTCTTTTTTTTCATTTAGATGAGAAAAGTTGTCATCCTGGCATAACATGGTTTGTCATGGTGCTAGTGACTCGTGGGTGGAACTATCGTTCTGTTAATGATGACAAGCAAGGCAAAAATCATGACAGATACTTCACTACTGAATTTGTACAGTGTTTGGGCTTATTTGCTCAGTATACAAAAAGCTTTAAAATATATCATTTTTTTATTATTATTATTTTTTGAAGAAAGATTGCTGGGGAAGCCTTGCTTATCAAAATGTATGTAGTGTAATGAAGTTTCCATGACCCAACTTCAAGGAATTGCTAACAAGAATTTTTAAATATCTTTTAATTTTGTCACATAAATTATTACTCTTCTTTAATGAATAGTAATTTCATTCTAGCCATGTGACCCAATACCCTTCTCCAATAACACTTTTAATTGTGATATATATTAATCTGTACAGTGTACAAAGATTATTGGTACATAAAAACATACGAACATTAGAGGAATATAGAGAATTGGGGTTCAGGAGAACAAAGGTAAGTTATCCATAGCTTTAGTATTAATCGAACTCCGCTATCACCAATGTGATAACGCACACAAGTCTTGGGAATGTGGTGCACACTCTTCATTGCAAACAATGACACCATGTAAAGAATCAGTAAGAGCAGCACTGCAAATCTGCCTGTCCCCTGGATGCATGCTTGACTTTCTCTTGGACATATGCTTTGATTTCTTCTTGTTTAGTTTCACCCTAGAAATACGCTACTTGGAGAGTTAATTTAGTCTCTCTCTGCAGTGCTACCACATAGCAAAACAAATAGAACATAAAACATCTGTTACAGTTATTTTGATGAAGAAAAGCTTATTTAAATAAAGCACATCTTTAAAATTGCCATAAAGAGCAATAATGGGTATGGAGCTCAGGGTTATGAAATATAGAATGCCGCTTGCAGCTCTGTCAGCAGTGGCAGCTGACTTTTGGGAGCCAGGAATATGTTCATCAATGAATGCACAGAAGCATGAATGGTACTAATGGTAAGTACACAGCTTAATGTACTCAGATTGTCAGTTTTGGTGATTCCCTGGGTCTGATATTTGGAACTATTGTGCCTTGGTTTTTCAGAGCTTAAAAGACTACAATTAAACTGCAAAACACTTGCCGAAATCTTGCAGCATTTTTACTGATTTCAGTCAGTGAGGACATGGTAATTAAGCCATCACGACATCTTGGAGTGCCGTCTGCCCCTCAGAGCCCCTTTGGATTCATTACTTTTTCTGAAACTCTTCACTGTGGGCCAAGCCCTGTAGGCTGCTTCACACCCCAATGCTTCTGATGTCAGACAGTCTTCCGTTTTGACAAGCAAAAGGTACTTTTCACACTTCCAGGCTATGGTCTTCGAGTTTCATAAACACACACAAATGAAATTCCTCTAAATCCATTTTTTAAATAGTTCTTCCTTTTTTTCAGAGATAATTTCTATTTTAAGCGCAGTTGCCTTCCTCAGTAAGCCTTCCTTAAATACGATTACTTTTTTGTTTTTTTAATATAAAAAATATTGAGACGGAGAGGGTTTTTTTTCCCTGGTTTTAATGCATTACCCTACAATAGTCCCCCTTGGATATCTGGTATTTTAGTTCACACTCAGCAGCCGGACAGCTCCAAAAATAAACTTGATTCTGGTGTGTTCTGATTTCCCATTCTCTGTCACACAGCTGCACTGGTGACTTCTCTGCCTTTGCTAAATGATTGACTTCTGCTATCCATTCACTTCAGGGCCTCTGTGGCAGTCAGCTGAAAGGTGTAAGGTTTTCTCTGACTTCAGGCTCCACTGAAGTAAGTCTGAGAATGATGCTTACTGTAGGTAGAGATATACTAAGTGACAGTAAATATTTACAAATAGCACATAGTTTTGCATTATTTCTAATCAACTAAGTCTAAGATTTTCACTAAGAATGATGGATTGTTTAGGAACGCCTGCTAAAGTCATTCCCATAGGATCCAATTCTGTAGCTTTTATTCAAGCAAGTACTTCTTATTTGTGCAAGTTATTTTACTGAGTATCACAACAATTATTCACACGAATAAAGGAACTTTTTTATAATATATCATGAAGTGTCCCGAAAAAACCAAAATCATATAAGTCAATACAGGCAGGTACTGTCCTTCAGGAATTGGGTTTGGGACTTCTCATTCTACTTTCTACAATGCTCAAATTTCAGAGCAGTTTGTTTGTCTGATGGATGTGCTCATTACAAGAATTTCACTGCACACCACTGATGGCTGGTTATAAAACAGGCTTCATGACACTCTTCTCCACATCCACTGGTAAATTAATTCACTGATTCATGGCATGGAATTGGAGAGAAAGTAAGCTAGCTCTTTCTGTCATCCAGCATTTGACTGTGAAATGTTGTTGCTGATGCAAATGCATACTTAATCTTGTTTAATACAATTTAATAAGAAGTAGGTCAGAAGAAAAAAAAAAAATATCAGTACTTGTTTCCAAATCATTTAGTAGAAGGAAAAAAGCATTTTAGCTGAGTTACAGTATACTTAAACTGGTTTAACTGCATGGTTTCCTGCAAGAGAGGAATTTTTTCGCATCCCAGGGAAAGAATTTCTATGTGGGCAGGTTCCCACAGTATTGATGAATCTGATCCTCTCCTCCTTATTGCATCTCTAGTTGTTGACAATGCTTTAAACAAATTGGAGAGTGGATGTAAATCTCCCTTCAGTCTACACCCATTCATCACTCACTCTGACCAAAACCCCTTTGGTAGAAGGCAGTGAAGTATTAGACAGAGAATCTGAAATTTACTGAAATTGC